AGGCCGACTCCCTGCGTTCCGGTGCGGGAGGGGGTGTGGAGCTGTATTGAAGTCAATGGCATCGCCCACAGTGCGATCGCCCGCACTCGGAACGCAGGCACATTAGTGCCTGCATTCCGGTCCAGTGCGATCTGCAAAAATAGTGCTCGCAGCATTTTTGTGGATCGCACTGGACTGGAACACAGGCACTAATGCAGGTGATCGCACTGTGGGCGAGGGGCCTGCCTGCGCAGCCCACGCCCCCTCCCGCCCCTGAATGCAGGTGTTTTTTCGTTGGTAGATCTCAATGAGCTCGTCATTTGAAAAGTAGATCTCCAGATGAAAAATAGTGGGCGCCCCTGCATTAGGCATTGAATATTTACATGGCAGGTGAACTTCTAAAGCGGCTCTGTAGTCATATTAGTAATAAATACAATGCTAGCTTATAAAGTCCCATTGATTTGTCCAGTCAGAATGGTGAATACTTTTTGTGCCCTACTAGACATTTGTTTATTGCTTCCTGTACTATTATCTATGCTTATTGTCCTTTTTTTTTTCTATTGTGCAGCATATTGATAAAGTATTTAAACACAAAGACCTTCAACAGCAGTTGGTTGATGCTAAACTGCAGCAAGCTCAAGAGATGTTGAAGGAAGTTGAGGAGCGCCACCAGCGGGAAAAGGACTTTGTAAGTGAAGCACTGATGTCTGTCTGTCTTTGGTATGGTAAACTCCCTGTTATCCAGCATCCATGGGGATCGGTAGATGCCGGGTAACTGTAGTTTCTTGAGAGTTACTATTAACTTTTAAGCAACGGGTGCCACACCCCCTTCCCCCAATTGGAAATAGCCAATAGCAGGTTGGCTATTGCTCCTGCCCACTGCCCATTGTTTACATTTATCTGCCGGCTGCGGAATGTAGCCACTAGCTCGCGGCAAGATGTAAACAGAGAATTTTGTTAGCAACTAAGTTTTTTTGTTTTTAGTTGCTAACAATTTTTTAGTGTGCACATGTCTATCAAGCAACTGGCAAAAAAAAAATCAGAAATCATATGTCCTTTTTTTAATTTAATTTTAATTTTTGCCGGTTCCTTGAGAATTTATTGAAAAAGCACAAAATCGATATATGGTCACTCGCACTCCAACTTGATGCAAAGTCAATATATTTTATTGACTGGACTGAGATGTTTACTTGAAGAAGGATCCACTTGGTTTCCGAAACGTCGCTGCTATAAATGTGACACTATCTCAGTCAATAAAAGATATTGACTTTGCATCAAGTTGGCGTGTGAGTGACCATATATTGATTTTGTACTATTGGCGGAGGCATCTGCGGTCGCATCGGCACCCACCCGATCTTTGGGTTTGTTTCCGGTCAGGAGTGCGGTTGGATATACCTTGGACTTATGTTTATTGAAAAAGCAACGCGCCTATATCAGGGTTAGTGTTAACAATGCACTAAGGGGGCATCAAAAAGGCTTGCAAAATGCCCTGCAAGTAGGGGAATGTGTTAAAGGGGAAGTGATGTAATAAAGTGAAGTGACCAGCTTTGAGGTGTGCTTAGGCTGTTAAATTTGCAGGCATATTGTTGGTTTTCTATGCTGTGTATTGCTGCATCTGAGTCGCAATAGCTGGACAGACTTGGGTCATACAATTTTGAGTGTGGCTCAACTGCTTGAATTAGCCATGCAACATTAATTATAGATATGACTGGTTCTGGCTGGTACTTGCAATGGCTGGCAGGCTAAGCTACCACTGGTATGGCTGGCACTGCTTTGGATGACAGCGATAGCAGCTGGCACTACAGGGTGGAATAGGACAGGCTTTCACAGGTTGCAAGGACCTAGCTAGAAGCTCTCTTCTTGCTGGCTGTTTGCAGACAGGAAGTGGCATCTGCATATTGCTGAAGTGCCCAAGTATTTATTTACTGCTGTAAACACAGCCCAGGATTACCTAAGTTTTATATAACATATTTAATTAATAAACGACTGGACCACATGGAACTTGTTCAAAATAAGTTAAAGCAGTTGGTGGCATGTTATTATGTCCAGTCCTTTTTTACTTTTTTTTGTGATGGGTTTTTTTTTTTTTTTTTTCTTAAATCTTCTAATCCTTCTCTATATACAGCTCCTAAAAGAAGCAGTGGAATCCCAGAGAATGTGTGAGCTCATGAAGCAGCAGGAATCCCACCTCAAACAGCAGGTAATCCATGTTTGTACCACCTACATGACTTGGCACAATCACACAGATTTTCATGAATGTGCATGTCATTGTTAATCTTTCAATATTTCTACATTCAGCTGGCTCTGTACACTGAGAAGTTTGAGGAATTTCAGAGCACACTTTCCAAAAGCAATGAAGTTTTCACAACCTTCAAACAGGAGATGGAAAAGGTGATCGAGATCTGTTTGGTTTCTATTTTCCTGAGCATTAAGCTTTTAATAAATGTTTGCAAATGATTAACTTTTTTACTCTGCAGATGACAAAGAAGATCAAAAAGTTAGAGAAGGAGACCACAATGTATCGCTCCAGATGGGAAAGTAGCAATAAGGCTCTTCTAGTGATGGCCGAGGAGGTGAGAGGCGCATATAACCAGCAAGCAGAATTAGGGGGATATTAGACCTCATTAATAGAAAATAATTCCACGTTCGATATCCATGTACAGTAAACTCCCCGTTATCCGGCATCATGGGGATTGGTAGAATCCGGATCAATGTTGTTTCTGATTGCTTGAGAGTTTCGATTAAAAGCAGGTCAATCTAATGCCTTACCCCATACTATACCATATAATAACAAAAACTCTGTATTGACTTCATATTAATATTGAAATGCAATAATCAAAAGCAAATTAAGACCAATAGACACACGATCGTTTTCAGGATAATACATGCCGCAGATCAGCAGAACAGTGAGTACACGGGGGTTTTTTTTTTCTCCTGGTTAGTTGTATACCGGATAACGGAGAGTTTACTGTATTATTATTGTATTTTATATAATATAGTGGCTTTTGTGGCTCCATTTCCTTATTTATCAGCTTTGTTTGTTAAAGCTCAACTTCAGGCATGAAGCTAAAACCGATTTGAAATACTTCTATATATGAACACTCTTAACTGCCTGAAGAATAGCACATATATTTAGCCAGTCTTGTGATCCACACCAAGATATCATATCCAGACATTTTTTTCTATGAAAAGAAAAAAAAAATAACCTTTTGCTTGTAGCAATTTTTTTTTTACTTTTTAAAGTGTGTTCACCTTCTTCAAGAAAGTAGAAAGCTTTGGACTCACAGACTGCAGCAGTTCTGCTGTATATGAAGGCTGTTTTTTTACACCTCGTAGAAAAGTCTGGAGTTCTATGCCATTCTACAGTTGGCTGGAAGAAAAGGGGTTTGGGTTTGGTTTTTTACCTTGTCAAAAGTGAAAATAGTCTAGGGTTGGTTACATTGGGTAATTTCTTTGTACACACATGACATATAAGTGTATTTTCTTGAATGCTTCTTTCAGAAAACCCTACGTGATAAAGAGCAAGAGGCTTTGCAGGCCAAGATCCAAAGATTAGAGAAGCTCTGCCGGGCTTTACAGACCGAGCGTAACGACCTTAACAAGAAGGTGCAAGGCTTCAGTGGACCACAGGCCCCTTCTGTGGAGACCACTGAGGATTGTATAAGTTGTACAACACCTGCTATCGGTGATAATGTAGAACTGAACAGCAGTGATGTGTGTGGGCAAAAGTGGCTCCATTTCCTTATTTATCAGCTTTGTTTGTTAAAGCTCAACTTCAGGCATGAAGCTAAAACCGATTTGAAATACTTCTATATATGAACACTCTTAACTGCCTGAAGAATAGCACATATATTTAGCCAGTCTTGTGATCCACACCAAGATATCATATCCAGACATTTTTTTCTATGAAAAGAAAAAAAAAATAACCTTTTGCTTGTAGCAATTTTTTTTTTACTTTTTAAAGTGTGTTCACCTTCTTCAAGAAAGTAGAAAGCTTTGGACTCACAGACTGCAGCAGTTCTGCTGTATATGAAGGCTGTTTTTTTACACCTCGTAGAAAAGTCTGGAGTTCTATGCCATTCTACAGTTGGCTGGAAGAAAAGGGGTTTGGGTTTGGTTTTTTACCTTGTCAAAAGTGAAAATAGTCTAGGGTTGGTTACATTGGGTAATTTCTTTGTACACACATGACATATAAGTGTATTTTCTTGAATGCTTCTTTCAGAAAACCCTACGTGATAAAGAGCAAGAGGCTTTGCAGGCCAAGATCCAAAGATTAGAGAAGCTCTGCCGGGCTTTACAGACCGAGCGTAACGACCTTAACAAGAAGGTGCAAGGCTTCAGTGGACCACAGGCCCCTTCTGTGGAGACCACTGAGGATTGTATAAGTTGTACAACACCTGCTATCGGTGATAATGTAGAACTGAACAGCAGTGATGTGTGTGGGCAAAATGCACTTCAAGCAGCACCAGCACTGCCTCCTCTTCCACCTGCCATGTCAGAGTAATGCAGACAGGAGTGAATGCTGCATATCTAATGTCCTCATTTCTTTTTTTTATGATGGCTTCCACTTTTATATCCCACATTACACATCCACCCCTTGCTTTTATTTCAGTTTAGTTTTTTTCACCTGAATACCATATCTACAACATTATTGGAAGGATTAGGACCTAGCCACAAATGCTGTTTACTTTCCTATCTTCATGCCTATAGCAACTGGTCCAACAGAGGTCCCATTTGCAGGTTATCCACGCAGTTTACAGTTTGTTGTGGCTTTGGTAGACTCTAATTGGCTTCATACATTTTGAATAAACTCTGGTTAATGAAAATAATAAATTTTTCCTGCTTTAAAAATATATTTACATACACATAGCAATGGTGACATGGATGGTTTCATGTAGGAACTGTCAGCCATTGGTATGTACAAATGATTCTCAGAATATGTCTGCCTCATGCATGCAAGTGCTTGAAAAACACACTGTTACTGGTACTTACTCTGGGACCACATTACACATTAGCGTCTCAATTCCTATGTTCCGCTGAACTGCCCATCCTTTCTTCTCTGTTCACTTAATTGATTTGCAGTAAATACAACCTGCTCACAGGCCTATTCTTTTTGAGTCTTTATTTTTCCTAAAAATGAATACAGAATAGTTGGTGTTGGCAGTATCTACACTTCACTTCCACACTACACTTGTTGCTGTTTAAGAAGTAGTTCTATTACAGTTCTCAGGAGTCGGTGCCCCTTTCACACAGTACTGTTTAGAGAAGTAGTAGCCAAACTCTGGACCTCCAGCTGTGGTGAAACTACAAATCCCTTCATGCACCTGCCTCTGGAACTCATGCCTGTGGCTGCCAGTCTTAAGGTGCCCATACACCTTGCGATTATCGTACGATAATCGAGGGGAAGGCGTGCGACCGTTTCTACTGCACGTCTTTTGTCGAAGGAGAAAACCCGCCGAGAATTGTACGATTGTCGGCGGGTTAGTGGCGTGCTCGTTCGACAACTGTGGAACGGGCCGGTGTGTGCACGCGCACACTGCTCGTTCAGCATTGCGGTCATCGGAAGCCCGCCCCTCAGCGGGGCGGGCTTTCGATGATTGCAAGTACGATCTGCCTGTCCAAGATGGGCAGATCGTACAAGCTTTTAATTAGCTTACAACCATCGCAAGACATAAGTCTTGCGATGGTTGTAAGGTGTATGGGCACCTTTACAATGCTTTATGGAATTTGTAGTTTCAGCACAGCTGGAGGAGCTTCTGTTCTGATTACAAATGACAATGTTTTAGCTCAGTTTCCAGGTGTTCAGTATCCAAATCTTAATGAGTAACTAAAGTCACCTTACAGAGGTGACAGCCACAGTGAATTTGAATAAAAATCAATCATTTTCTCCCATTCACGATGTAACCGTACATGTTGAAATAGAATTGATTTGTGCAAAAGCTAGAACAGTTGTCCTTTTCTTTTCTTCTTACTATTTTGGTTGTGCTGGTATTTCCAGCTCTAGATCCACTTAACCAAATTGTAACCATGTATCTTGCAGAATGTTCTTCTTACAGTATGCTGCTGTAAGCATTGCTTTGTATACTCACACAAAAATATACACAATGTATACTGTGTACAGTCAGGTGTGCACACAGAATTACTAGGACCCTATGACCATATATACAAATACTGGTTCCTGTAGAAACATAAAAAAATTGGTTGTGCCTTAACCAGGGCCATGCAACCAGTGGCAGAGCACATGATGCATTCTTCCTGCTACCGTCTAGTCAGAATGTCGGTTACAATATACTTGCACATTGCACAGTATACTTCTCATTGTGCCTTGTAGGGAGGTGCTGTTTGCTTGTCCAAACCCAAAAAGAGAGTCTTGATGCTTCAATATTATGCTGCTTAAATGACTAGACATGGCTATAGCATGAATGCATTTTGAAAGGAAGAATTGCTTTCCACAGATGTTGAAGCAAACCTATAAAATGATTATATACTGGTGCAGAATGAGAGCTGTGATAAAACTTCTATGCTTCCATGTTTCTTTTACTGTGGTTAGGCGTATATATTGTGGTTACTTATGTACCCCCACGGTTCGGTACCAAAGAGATTGTCCTACTCTGTGAGTGAGGCAAGAAGGTTTGCTGATTGATTGTACCATCATGGAAAATGTAGTATGCATCACTGAAAATAAATCCTGGCTTTCTATTCTCATCTCATTTGTTGTTTCTCTAAGATTTAGATGATGTCGTTTTGGGAGTTAGTTTATAATTAAAACGCCTTTCCTAGCTTCATGCCTACCATGTTGTTCTCTGTGGTAAGCATGCTTCCTGTTTTCATCATATCAAAGTTACTGGATCTTATGAAAACTGGAGGAAGAAAGGTGTCCTGTTGTCATTTTGCTATTGCAATTTTAAAATGAAAAGACACATCCAATTAATTGCAACATACAAGTATGTTGGGGTTTTTTTTCTCTTTTTAGGTGGGACGATTGAAATAATAAAAAAAAAACAACTTAGTGGACAGCTCATTAAATTTTCCAAACAAAGCTACTAAGCTATTACTATGCATTGATAAACACTCCAACATCTGGTAACAGCTCAGCTAAGATGGACACTTTTTGTGTCTTGTCATACAATTTTATAATCCTATTGAATAATGTGAATAAAATGCAGCTAGTATTGACTGTTGCCCTATCATGGTGTATTTTATATGCATCTTATATGCACCATGTTACTGGTCAACAGCATTTCTCTTCTAATACTGTTCAGGATCTTCCAAGCAGGAAAGCCACTGTACTGAGATGCTGTTTGCAGCACAAATGTCATCCTAGCATGTTGGACCTAGTAAATTATTATTATTATTATTATTACATAGTATTTATATGGCGCCAACAGTTTGCGCAGCGCTTTACAATATAAGGAAGACATTACAGTTAAAATACAATTCAAGACAAGATGGTAAGGAGGGCCCTGCCCCTGAGGGCTAATAAAATGAATACAAGTAAAGAATACTAAAAGTAGTGTTAGTATCTCCATAGCATAAGTGGGATGGGGAGTCTGTTGTCCAGCAGGAGAGAACTCAGACCGGTCCGACCACACTGCTTGGGATTTCAGTGCAGCAGAGGCAAAGTTGTCTGCTCACTACATGGAATTGGGTCAGGGTCAACCGGTATTTCTTTCTTGTCCATCTGAGGGACACATGAAGTCTTTAACTTATGGGTTATACAGCTGCTTACAGGGGGATTTGTCACTGGAAATAAAAAAGAAAATAAAACTAGGCCAGCGTGAGGATAACCCCACCTACTACCAGAAAGCCCCAGTTTTTCATGTCCTAGGAGGATGGATGTCTTTTCTTTCTTTGATTTTTTTTTTTTTTTTTTCTTCAATCCAGACACCTCCTATTTCTCTCTGTTGATGCATTGTGATTGACTAATTACCCTTCTTTAGATTGTGACACAGCTTCAGAAAACAATTTAGTTCCTGGGGACTGGAGCAATTTTGCCATTTTTGCTATGTGTTTAACCATAATTTCCATCTTCCTCATTCATTGCACCTAACATAATACATACCGCTTTTTAACGGACAACATGGGCTTTAATTTGATGTGACATACGCATATAGAAATTATTCTTTAAAAAAAAAATGGAAACACATTTTTCACAGTTTTGGCATTAATAATGTGTACAGAATGAGTACAGCTAACAAAGTATTTTATAATAAATTATTTTATTTGTCCTGATATTTATAGGTTATATCATAAATCTGGGATTTTAGTTTATTTTGGAAGTTATAGGTCACAAAATATAAGGAGTGAAATACAATTTTACTGTAGAACTATTTTTGAATGTGGCATGTTTGTCTCTTTAATAGCCTCCTCTGCATTATATTTTCTTATATTTCTTTTAATTAAACTTTTTAGTAAAGGGGTTTTTTTCTTACTTTTTTTTAACCTTTTCCTTTTTTTTTTTTAACTTTTAAAAACTTAAAAAAAAACTGTTTAAAACCTTAAAAAAAAAAAAAAACTAGGGGGCACTAAGAGGTTATTTTTTTTTAATTTAAATTGGCTTTTGATACTAAGTATTCTGAGGAGATACTTTATTCTCAAAGATACTTTGTATCAATTTTTTAATACTGCATACTGATCCAGTTTGCAGCTCCACATCACAGTGAGCTGCAAGCCGGCTAAGTGGCTGTCACAGCACTGTGATCACTGCAATTACCTATCGCATTCAATGTATGAAGATGTCATCAGCACACCAAAATTCTTTCTGGATTCCAGTGTTCGTTTATTAAAGATTCTTGTCATACAAACAAGCACTTTCGGGGCCACACTGGGTCCCTTCATCAGGCTTAGCATTGACAATGTGCAAATGTGCACAAATCACACCAAACTTTATATGGACAAACGGATGCAAAACCCACCTACCTGAACACCCCTTGACATCATTATGACATTATAAACCCCACAAAAACATTTTTAACAAATATAATATTAACCGTCGTGTACAAAGCATCAAATGAAAAAAGTAGAAAAATACAAATCAGACTGTTGCAATGTAACTAGGAAGGACCCAGGATATGCTGAATGGTGCCCTGGGGTAGAAAAATGCATTACTTATGAGACTGAGGAAGAAGTTTACCCTCCCTTAAACCTGCAAGCAGAGAGCTACCCAGAGTCCTAACACTTCACGCCTTTTGGACCCTCAGTTTAGACCTTTGTCATAAAGAATATTACGGACTTCCTGATAGACCATGCAAACAATGCTGCCTCTCACCATACAAGGGGAAACACTTAAATGTGTTCAGAGGCACTTTAATCTATGGAACCTGATTTAAAAAAAAAGGTCTTCAAAACTCTGCTTGCCTTACTGACATTTAGTAGCTTTAAAACTCTCACAAGGGTAAACCAGGATCCTTACATATATTAATCACTCTACCTGCTAAGCAGAGAGACCTTCAAACCATGCTAAATCAGATATAGAAGCGTTATAAATATGCAATCTTGCACCATATTCATGAATATGGCAGCTAATGCAGTAGGATGCTTGCATACTCTGTAAGGGCCAAACACATACGAACTTACATCCATAAAAATTGCAGCTCCTAAGAGCGGACTAGTATACAGCTCCTCAGACATAGCTGCTAACGTTCATAAATAGTACAAGGACTTATACAATATTACCCCTGACTGCCCGACCTAACACTGTTCAGACTTTAATAAGCAAAGGGTGTCTTAGATAGAGTACATTAAGCTCCCAACCCTCATTTCCCAACAGGTAAAAGCTTTGATGTCCCCCTTTACCTCATTGGGGATTCAGGGTGTTATCTCCTCACTAACAAAAGGCAAGGCCCCAGACCTAGATGGTATCATGAACACCTTTTTACAAACATTTTCGGACTACCTTTCTCTATTCTTGGAGAAGGCCATCAACCCAATATTCCCTGCCTGTCCTTCGTCAGTCCCAAGAGGCTCAGACAACGCTTATTTAAAAACTATGATAAGTCCTCACCCAATGTTTCAGCTGTAGGCCGATTTTCCTTACTCAATTTAGATTTAAAAATATATACAAAATTGATTTCCACAGGCTGAAGCCACTCATTCCCTCTTTA